GTCACACAAGAAGCCAGTGGCTGAGCTGAGGCTCGATCCTAGGTCTCCAGACTCCCAGGACAGCCCTGTTTCTGCTTACGGGGGAACAAGGATCCACCCAGTAGAGCGCATAGTCAACACGCATGAGGCATATTCTCTCCAACACCTCTGAGATAGTTTCCAGAGTCCGTGTGCTCTTAGGTGCCATGTACGGAGAAGGCCCTCCCACAATGCCCTGGATTCGGATGCCCGGTATCGTGGCCGCCACCGGGTCCCACATGCTGACGTCCTCTTCTCCCCTAGGCTGTCTGTGACAATCAATAGGAAGAAGAACATGGTGGTCTCCTTCGGAGATGGAGTTACTTTTGTGGTCGTCCTGCACCAGGTGTGGAAGAAGCATCCTGTCCACCAGGACTTCCTGGGCTTCTATGTGGTGGACAGTCACCGGATGTCGGCACAGACACATGGGCTGCTGGGTATGGAATGTTTGAGCTTCACATTGTGCAGGACTCATGGCAGAGGGGGGAAGCCACATGAAAGATTGTCCCAGTCACTGCAGACCCAGTGCGCAAAACCCAGTCAGCCTTTGCATCAACCCCGGAAGGCCAGTGGCCGTGGGGCCTCTGGTGATGGCCGGGGCTCATAGCATGCAGGGGCTGACAGCATGAATGGTTTTTGTTCCCAGGACAATTCTTCCATCCCTTTGACTTTGAAGTGTCTGACATCCGCCAAGGCTCTGACCCCACAAAGCCAGATGCCACCATGGTGGTGAAGAACCATCGACTGACGGTCACCAGGTGAGGGGACTCCACTGGCATCCTCCCCCTGCCCAGTAACAAGACAGGAGGAGAGAGCCCTCTCCGTCCACACACATTGGCCCGGCAGGCTCTTATCTCCTGTGGGGTACCTACCCTTGTTTCCCTCCGGGGTCCTGGGCCCCCTCTAGGCCCCTCCCAATCAGGAAAAGGCCAAACTCGGCCCCCTAGAAGGAGTTAATCATTTGATCTCTTCCTTGTCCAAAGAGGTTCTGGACTCTTAGAATTAGCAACTTCACACCCTTTTCCTGCCTTAAGTCCACGAGCCTAGCAGCTGTCTGGTCCACGCTGTGTGTCATAGTGTCTCTTTCCTTTTTCCCAGGGGCTCCCAGAAAGACTACAGGAAGGATGTCAGCTTCGGCACCAAGGTCGCCTGCTGGTTCGTCCACAACAACGGGGAAGGGTTGATTGATGGTGTCCACAGTGACTACATCATCCCCGAGCTGTTCTGAGTAGACATGCCCACTCCTGCCGAGATGGCTGGCCCAGCTCACCTGGCATCTGGAACGGGCCCAGAGCAGGGCCTGAGGGAGGGCTGTGACAATAAAGCCCAAGGGGACACTGCCACCAGCCTCTGCATGCCTCTATGAGCCCCTGCTCCAGGGAACAGGCCGTTGGGCCCCGAGGTAGCTCCAAAGAGGGGTTGGCTGCTAGGAAAGTAACTCTCTGGGCTTCCACACTGATGTCGGTGAAAGACAGGGTTGGTTGGGGTGACACTTTGGGGAGCAAAATGTATGATGGTTTGGGAAGGAAAAGGCCAAGAATTGACTCTGGTGCGAAGGGGTTCTGAGAAGTTGAGAAGGGTTGAATGCATTCCAGAGTCCAGGGGGGTAGTAAGAAAAGTCAGGGGTCTTGGCTCAGTGCTCCTATCAGGCCCCACAGGCCTGAAGATCTTTCTATGATGCAGAAGCAGAGAGTGCTCTGGAGCAGACCTAGCCTGCAGCTCATTACAGATGTCATTCATCCCTCCATCTTCCCCTTAGCTAGCCAGCCACCCCCCTCACCCATCCCCTAGCCAGCCAGCCCCCCCCACCCACTAGCCACCCCCCATCCACTAGTTACCCACCCCCACCCCCACCCACTAGCCACCCCCCATCCATTAGCCATCCAGCCATCCCGCAGATAAACCGAACATTCTGATTCTGGGCCAGAATCTGGGGGCACACAGCTTAGTAACCTGGTTGCTCTTTGCGTGGGTGCCCCAAGTTTGCCAGCAGCTTTTAATCCTTCAATCACAGCTCATGGTGACCACCAGCTCCACCCCCACAGTAAATCCTGCATGGGGTCGGGGGTCAGACAGAGATTCCCGGAGGAGGGGCTCTGAGGGCTCTCAGCCTGGACAACCGTCTCCCATCAGGACAACTGCAACACCCCTTCCTGGGTCTCCCTGCTTCCACAGAGGGATTCTGTAGAGCAGAACTGACCGTCAGTCCCTGCCTAAAAACCCTCTAAATAACACCTCCCACCCACTGATCTTGGATTAAAGGCCAAAGTCCTACCTAGGGCCTCTCTTGCTTCACCAACCCCACACACCAGGTGTTTCCCCTCACTTTTAGGGTTCCAGACACACGGACTGCTCCCAGTTCTGCAAACCTAACCCCTCCCGCCCCAGATCCTTTGGCTCTGCTGTTGCCTCTGCCTGCGGGGCTCTGGGCAGGCTGTGCAGACGGCACCCGCCGAAGGAAGCTGTGGGCAGCTTTGTTTGATGACAGAGCAGGACCACAACCTCCTGGAAGAGGCTGGGGTTGGATGGAGAATGGCAGCGAGTGCCAGCGGAGGGTGGGATCTGGCGACGGGTCACCAGGAGATTCCCCTACCTCCCAGTCCAGGGGCCCGTCTGCCTGAGCCAGAACAGGGTTTCCCCAGGACCTGGGGGCCTGGAGGAGGGCACTGGGAGGCTGGTCCAGGAGAACACATAAGGCCCCGCCACCCTTTCGGTCCCGGGTTGACTGAGGAACCAAGGAACTTTAAACCAGTCAGTTTTCACATCCGTAAAATGGGGAGAAAGATCTTGCCGGAGGGTGTGAAGACATCATCAGCATTATGGTTTCTGATCCTCCTGAGGTGCCTGTCTTTGTCCTGTGCCCCCAGGTAGCCCCCGAGCCCAGTGAGTTGGGAGAAAGGCAGCAGGTCCCCAGGCAAGATTCTGCCCCTTCCCCCAACACACAGTCAGGGAGGCCCTCCACACTGGCAAAAACCTGGTGGACTACGTCCTCTCCCCAGTCCCGGTGTCATCTTGACTATGCCTGCCCCTGCTTCCGGCCTCTGATGCCTCCCCCAGCTTTCCGGAGAGAAGCCACACTCCCTGGCAAGGTGCACACAGCCGGGGCTGGCCTCGGCCGGCTTTTCCACCTCTCCAGCGTCCACTTCCGCCTCACCCCGTGGCACCGCCTTCCTCCACTTTCCCTGAATTCAGTGCGCAGCGTTCTGGCTCTAGACCTGGTGTCCTTGCCCTCCATTTCCACTGGGCTAACTTCTCCTTATTCTTCAAAATGCAGCCCCAACCATGCCACTTCCAGGAAGCCTTCCCTGATATTCCCCAGGTTGGACAAAATGTCTCCCCCTGGGCTCTTTGTTCTCTGGGTGGCAGCGGTCACAGTAGGCACCGTGTCTCCCGTGGTACCCAGTGTACCCAGCACCCGGCCCAGAGCCTGGCCTAAGTGAGTAGCTGGAAAGCACTCAGGGAACAAAACAGTGAAGGGCACGGAGCTCCTTTCAACTGTTCTCAGAGAACACTTGCTCTGTAAGTGCTCTGGGCCAGAAAGTCACCCATGACCCCTCTGCTGGGGTGCCAGTTCCACAGCCCAGCCCAGGTGGTGGGGTCCCGGGGGGGTGGTTTGGGGTGGGCAGGCATCTTGTCGCCGGATGGTAGCACTAGCCCCCCAGCAAGTCCGGCAGAGCCCCTGAGGCTGCTCCCTTGTCTCAAGGAGCTCTGGTCTGAGCCCTTCTGAGCGGCCCCCACAAGGCGACTCAGCCCGTGACCCCCGCCCGCCGACCACGCTGGATGGGGAGGCATCAGGGCGACGGAGTGTCCCCTGCTGCTGGAGACCCTTCCCACTGGCCTCTCCTCTGACCCTTCTAGAAAGAGTTACTCTGCAAACATTCTGTAAAGCCCTAGAGCTGAGAAAAGAATGTTTCCCCGGTGATCTAGTTTGCTCCCTCCCAGCAAGCCGACGAGCTCATTTCCTGCTTTATCCTCGCCGCCAGGACGGCCCGAGCACACCCTCGGTGCCGTGGTTCCCTGCCCGGCCCTGGCGCCTCTGATCCAGCTCTCTCCCCTGCTTGCCTCTTCTCTTTGATGTCATCCTCCTGGTTTTTGTTTTGTTCTCTTGATGCTTTTTATTTGTAAGCCAAAGACGTGTGTCATTTTTAAAGAAGTAGGTAGAGTAATTGTAAATGGTTTCTTAAGTATGCTTTGCCTATGCAGGGATTGGGTGCCTTCTCTGGGGTGCCTAACCCCAGAGCATGGATGGCAGAGCAGGGCCCTGGCAGCCCAGGATCCGGGAGCACCCCCGTGAGACTGGAGGCTCCTGGGGACAGACCCTGGCTTTCTTCCTGGGGCCGGAGCCTCACCTCTGTATCCTCTCTGCCAGGACTAGCCTCTCGACAAGGCAGTGAGCAGACAGGCCTGAGCCTGAGAACAGGTGTGGAAATCGGACTGTGTCATGCAAACCCCATCACCAAGGGGTCCCAGAGCTTGCTGAGAACCTCAGGGACTTGGCCTATAAAGAACTTCTGCCCAGTTTGTGCCCACCCGGGGACATTTGTTTCTAACCCCGTTCATGGGTCTTTTTTTTAGTCAAAACTGGTTTCCACTGACTGAGTGACCATAAAGCAGACTAAACCTTTGCTGCCAGAGTATGTTCTCCAGTCCTAGACCCCCAGCTGCAGGCTGGAGCAATGTTTAATTTAATTTAATTTAATTTTCTCTTATTTATACTTATTTAAATTCAACTAGCCAACATATGGTACCTCATTAGTTTTTGATGTCGTGTTCAATGATTCATTGGTTGGGTATAACACCCAGTGTGGAACAACATTTTAAATAGGTGGTTTAATCTCTCCAAATCGTAGTTTCTCCGCTTGTAAAATGAAGAGACTGGACTGAAATTTCGCCATGGGGCTTACTGGCCACAGGCCTTTGAAGGGCTCACGGTAGAAGATTCGAAGATTCTGATTCTAATGTGGGATTTAGCCAGATGCCAGCAGAGATGCCCATTGCCTGGGCTTACAGCAACTGTTTTTATTGTAATGAGTCAAAATATCCTCCCCATCGCAGCCCAGGCCCCATGGGCGGCCCTCCGGTCACAGGGTGGCAGTCCTCTGCACACCTTTGTGCGGCATGTGGCGGGGGGGGGGGGGTTTCACCACTCCCTCATAACTACAGCTCCACGGACCAGCAGGAAATCTCTGTTCCTGGAGACCCCTCTTGGTAATCCAGCTTGAGCAACCTGGGATGGAAAGGTGGACAGACAGAAAGATAGGTGGTCCGCAAATCTCAGGTGTGGTGGGAAGAGACGGACACGGCTGGGGTTAGGAACGGGGAGGGTAGAGAGTCTCGGGGCCCCGAGAACTTCCTCCGGCACCGGCTAACAAGGCCCCGTCACCCAAGTGGACACCCAGTTGTGTGCGGTCCTCAGGGTCCGGGGCTCTGAGACTTCAGGAGGAGTTTCCCCCTGCCCCCCACCCCCACCCGAGTGATCTCTGGGCTGGGGTGGTTTCTGTGGGTCTGAGCTGACTGTACTTTGTGGGGTCGCTAAGACCCGGGTCAGACATACCTAAAGCATCAGCCTTTGCCCTGACTCTCTCTATTTGCCGGGCAAGGACAGAGGGGTAGGGGCCCAGCTCCCAGCCTCCCGGCCCCCGCCCTTGGCCGGGCTCAGTGGCCTGCTTGCACAGAGTCACCTGGTGGCAGAGTACTCAAGGTCCTGAACCCTCAGCATTCGCTTGCTGTCATCTGCCGCTGCCGGAGGCCCCCAGAGCACGTCCTGGTAAAACTGGCCTGGGACACAAAGGGCGGGTCAGCAAGGCATAAGGACAGAGAGGGAGGCTGGGAGACGCACAGAGGGGAAGCCCACTGCCTGTTCACGGTAGCGGTGGCTTGGGAGGACGCCTACCGAGGGTCCCGCCAACGCGGCTGGAGAAGCGGTCGGTGTCCCGCAGAAGGAGCCGGAGCCCCTCCCCGGGGCCGTCCCAGGGTAGCAGGCCGATGGTCACCCTGTCCGGGCTGCTTAACAGCAGGAGCCCCGCCTTGTCCATGGTCAGCTTGACGCTGCAGGGAGAGCCAGGGTCCTGAGCAGTCGGGCTGGGAGCCGGCGGGGCTGCCCGCTTGTCCCCGGGAATTCCTACTGTGGCCTCGGGTGCTGAGTCCCTTCAGTCCCTTCTGGCCTTCGGTCTCCTCATGGTAAACTGGGACCGACGGTAACTTAGATACAGCCGTTGTTTTCTTTCTCAAATAAAACAACGGCTCTTTTCCCTCCCTGGTTCTTTTGGATTTGGCTTCTCATGAATCAGTTGGATCCGATTTCGGCCGGTCTTGGTACATTTCCTCTGTCCCTTTCGTTGTTACAGCCAGTGGCGCTTCCTTCTGAGGATTAGCGTTATTTAGGTCTAAGAAGAGCAAGTCCCTTTCCCTTCTGTCCGGTCCTTTTGGTTTTTTTTTTTTACTTAAGATAATCTTTGAAATTCTTACCTTTTTTGTTTTCTTAGGAATGTTAGGCTCTTTTAAGCATGTTGAATAGAACCCCGCTGTTACTCTGAGGTCATTTAAATGGAATTGCCCTAAACTGACACTGTTCCAGTCATTGTACAAGACACAGTCTGTTTTCCCTTATGTGTATCTTCCGTAGCTCATGAAAGTATTCGGACTTTTTCTTACTGCAGGCGATAAGAATTCTTTATTCTACCCTCTGGCATGCAAGTCCAAGGCATAGAAATCCTGTCATTCTCTGTGCATTTATCAGATAATCGGAAACTTTAAGCTCTCTTATGAAATCGGGCGGTTTTCAGGTGAAGCCCTTGGATTTTCTAGGCATGCACTCATTTGTCAAGTGGAAACCAGTCTCTGCTGTGGGGGCAGGGAGAGGGCAGAGGGCAAGGCTCTCTGTACCCGGTACAGGCTGGGGGGTTGCAGAGCACGGCTCAAAGAGGGTCAGGGTCCTCGGCCCCACTCCCAGGTCCCCGTGACCTCCAGAGCTGGAGAGCTGCCTCTGGAAGACTCTGTGGTGGGGCAGCCTCACCCAGAAGAGGATGCTGTCCACTTGCATCACCCACCAGCTGCCCAGTGTTTGATGCCGGGTGGACTTGTCGACCCCCGTCAGAGCTTCGGGAGCATGCTAAGGATGACATGCCTAACCTGCCCTGGGGGCCAGTGCTCTCCAGCTCATTGCTGTCATTACCTGGCCACACTGACAGCGTTGCCCCCCACGGCACCCCGTGGGCACCGCACTCTCTAATGGGCAAAGTGCTCCCGGACCACATCCTCTTACTGGATCTTCCACCCTGCCCTCTGAGACTCAGGGCCGGGGGATTATCTCTGGTGATGAGTGAGGAAACAGGCTCAGAGGGGGTGAGCAGCCTGCTCAGGGTCACACAGGATTAGCAGCAGAGCTAGCTCCAAACCACACCGTGCCCCACCTGGGACAGTGACCCGGGTTAGGAATGAGGGCAGCCAGCCCCAGCCTAACTGTT